CTGGGAGTGCTTAGAGAAAACTCTGTGGTTAGCTAGTTTCAAAGCTATCACATGCTTTGTGTGGTCCTGCAAATAAATGAATTAAAAAAATCACTTGAGAAAGGCAACTTAGCTTTATGGGGCAGGGGAGATTGTTGTGAGACTGTTGTGACCACATTCCAACCACAATTGGACCAAATACATTTGCATGCCTTTGTTTGTGTTTTTGTATATGTGTATATGTTTGTATATGTGTTTAAGTTTTATTAATTGATTCATTCTTTCTTTCATTTCTTTCTTTCTAATGGGATAGTACACCCCAAAATGAAATTCTGTCATCATTTACTCACTCTCATGTTGTTCCAAACCTATATGACTTTATTTATTCTGTGGAACATTAAAATAAGATATCTTAAAGAACGCTGCCTATCACTGTATCAACACACATTTCTATCACAAAATTTTCAAAAAACAAAACAAAACAAAACACTGAGACGCTTTTTTAAATAGACGCTTCTTGTGTTCCAGAAGAAACAGACTCATACAGGTTTGGAACAACATGAAGGTGAATGCTATAACTACAGGTCTTTTGCAGGATTACGATTTGGTTGTAGAAATCACACCTAGACGAGCATGAAGAGCAGTGTGTGTGTGTGTATGCGCTTTTACAGGAAATAGCACGTGACTATTTGACTTCTTCTTTGAATTAGGCTTCTATTTCTTGGTGATTGGCACTGACATTTTTGCTTGACAAATATGGTGTACATTTCACAGCTTTGGATATTTTTTGGTGCTCTGGTGTCTTCAAACAGTAAGTTATATATATAAATATGTCTTCTGTCTCAATACCTGTGAGAGATTGGATCAGTAAAATTTTGATGCTGTTCTTCTGTTTAGCTCTGGACCGCTGGCATACAAGATGCACAGATGTTACAATCATAGCCTCTCTGAGATCTGAAGTCTCTCTCCCATGTCACTTTAAAATAAGCCATTACAATAAAACAGAGAAAATAAAATGGAGCCACCAGTCCAGTCTTGTAACGATCACAAACAATGGCATTATCTACTTCGATAATCCTAGTGAAGGACGAGTGAGCTCTTTCCCTAATCTGGCAAGAGAAGGAAACTTTTCCATCCTCATCCATGATCTGCAGGCTTCAGACATCGGCACCTACTTTTGTGAGCTGAACAGTGAATGCTGGAGGGTGAAGATCATGGAATTGCCAAGTAAGATTAGTTCTTTCAAATTGAGCAGGAATCATATAATGGCCTATATTTTATTGGAGACAAATAATAAATTAAGACAAAATTAGCTGGATGATTTTACATGTTTTTACAACATCATTTGTCTTTTTCAGAAACTGAACAGCTGAACTCTAATCGCAACTCCTGGTTATTCTTTTTTGCTGGAGCTGGAATTTTCACTCTGCTTTTTATTATATTCAATCGTACTGGTAAGCAGTACTTTTCATTCACTATCCACAGCAAAATTCCATGAACCAGTATTAGCCAAATAATAAATCCTCCTGTTTATTTGTTTGTAAAACAATATTCAGGCTTACAAAACCGTTTGCAGTCCTCGACAGAAAAATGCATGAGATTATCCAAATCTAACTCTACGAATGAAGAACACCACCATGAAGGTAACTTCAGTAAAACATGATTTTTCAAGATTTTAAGATTTATTTATGTTTTTTAAATTCTGAATAAAGTATAAACAGGTTTATTATTGGCATTTAATGGCAGCTGATATTACATTTATGTATTTATATTTACATGCGGTAATTACAAAACCTAAGTAAATGCATATTTAATTTCATTTCATTCGATTGCTGCTGATTGTTTGAAAGCTTATAAAACAGTCTGAAATTCCTGCTAATAGGTTATTTATATTATGTGATATCAAAATATAACATACACTCTTAAAAACCAAGTTTCTAAAAGTTTTTTTTTACAGTGAATATTTTAGTGAACAGATCTTAAAAGAACCTTTTTTTTTTAAGTTTTAAAAATCTAAAGAAACATTTTCCACTATAAAGGTGGAATTGACATTGGATGTTAAAGGATGTTCTTCATGGAACCAGAGATGCCAATAAAGAAACATTTTATTTTTAGTGTAATATGTAATATCAACAAATATATAATGTTGTGCTATAAATATTTTGCTTTTCAAGAACATGGTTCTTCAAGTCAAACATCTAATATCCAACAGCGAGGTGATTCACCATTTCTATTTCCATTATACATATATTATAAAATAAGATATATGTTTAGTATGACAATAAATTAAGCTCAAATAATAAAATTAGCAAACTAATACTTTTTTTTATTTTTAAATCAGCATTCATAAATCCAGATCCAAATGATTTTACGACATCTACAGTATACTATGGTAAGACACAATTTGTATGTGGATGTTTGGAAAATGTTTTTTTTTAATTATAAGGTTGAGAATATCTATAATAACAAAAGAATAACAAAATATCTGTTTGATATGTTTTAGTCATCCAGGCATAATACTTCAATTTAGAAGGTGCCGGCAAGAGGGGAAAATAAAAATCATGATTTCCTATTTCAGATTATAAATCTGTTATTTTGTCTATCAGTAAATACTGTTGTCCTTTCATGTGGTTCATGTGTTTTGAAATGTTTTTCTATTACCATTCATTGATTTTTTGTGTTTAAAATGGGTTGATTCTCAGATAACTGAATACTTTTGTAAACCACATGTAAATTTATGTTAAAATCTTCATTGTACATTGATTGTAATGAACTTTTCCTTGGAAATTCTTTGTCATTATTTGTAATGTTGTGCACAAATTATTTGAATACAAATAAACAAAAAAAGAGTATTATGTTGAGTAATATTGACTGTATCTATCTCTTAATCATCCTCGTCTACCATTTCTGAAAAAGGTAATTTTTTATTCTGTAGGCTATTTGAAGTCGAAGGGAGCTGTGAAAAATCTGTTTTGTACATTTAATAGAAGCGCACAGATGGCATGACATAGCCAAATTTATATATATATATATATATATATTTTTTTTTTATTTTTTTTTTATTTATTTATTTATTTTTTTTTATTTTTTATAATTTTATATAATTTTATAAAGATAATTTTTCTCCATTATCTGCCTTACTTCAGTAGGTAGGTACAAGCAAGGGTGTAACTTTGGTTTGAGAAGTGGGGAGGACACAAAATGGGGGAAAATGTTTTCGATTTGAATCCCATTTCCTGCATTTACATACATTTAGGGACTATGGTGATACAAAATCCAGTAATTAAGTTAGTTGATTATAATGATAAATTCTGCCAAAAAGAATAGTAGGAAAATGCTGACAGAAAATGCACGGTTTAAAGTGGACTCATTTTCATGTTACACAGAATGTTCTACATCAGTGGTTCCCAAACTTTTTAGAGTGGAGTACCCCCTGAGGCATTTACCATCCTTCTGCGTACCCCCTCTCTTCCACTTAGACTGCACCTTTTCCATTAAAGGACAATATTTGCCCCCTAAAT